TGGGACCTGAATGATGCTAAAGTGGTGTGCAGACAGCTGGGCTGTGGAAGCGCTCGTTCAGCGCTACAAAGTGCAGCTTTTGGACAGGGCAGCGGACCCATCTGGTTGGACGATGTATACTGTTTTGGAAATGAGTCATCAATAACTGACTGCAGACACAACGGGCTTGGAGTCCACGACTGTGGTCACCATGAAGATGCCAGTGTCGTATGTGAATGTAAGTTAAAGTTCTTACATACTGAAAAATTGAAATAATGAAATCTTTTATCTTATATTATATTATGACATGGAAGTACTCATGCTGGCCTCATTTGGTATTTCCTATTTCATCTGCTTTCATTTTTTATTAGTGACCTAATGTCTTTTTCTTTAGTCCAGCAGCCTCCACTCCAGACTTCACAGTTAATTTGTGGCCGTGATAAAATCCAAGTAGGTCTGCATATGGGCAGCATGTCATCCTCCGGTTTGAACCCCTTCTCGGGCAACCTGGCTTCCAGCAACTGTTCCTGGGTCAGAGTCCGTGATGATTATGTTTGGTATGAAATGGAGGCTCGGGCAGGTGCCTGTGGAAATGTGCTGAGGGTAAAGACTTATTTCTTTTTCCTATTGTTTAACTGTCCCATTAAAAAACACTACTGTTCAATTAATTTGTGATAAGGTGGCTGTAGACTGTGTTTTGGCATCAAATGGCTTTTTCGTTATCCAAGGAGAAAAAAGTGAGCAACAGCAGTCAGAGACTTCAGAAGGATTCACTGTATTAACCCCTGTGGACATGTCTCTGGTGATTAGACTTTCTCTAGGTGACATGATTTCTTAACTGACTGAAAATGTCATCATCTGTCTTTCAGACCAACAGCACACATGTCATCTACTTCAACAGTTTATTCATCTACCCTCTGGCTAATTTGTCCTTCGCTCTTCCTGTGGGTCTTCCCTTCTCCTGTGCTTATCCCCTGGACACAGACGCCAGCCTGAATGTAGCTATCAGGCCAGACCTGTAAGTTCATTGAATTTAACTGCAGCATCACTTAGTATATGTTATTATTACCCCACTCTTTTCAATCATTCTGTTACCAAACTGCAATAATTAAGATGAATCTTGTTTACTGTGTGTGTTTCTTTTAACCATTCATGAGAGAGTAAGCATGCATTACTGTGAGCTGTTTGTAATTTAACATGACCACTGAAAGTCATTTTCAGATCCTTCATGCATAAATTTAAGTGCTTTTAGCTGTGAGGCTACTTTCCAAACAGCGTTACAGTTTGTTTAGAAAGCTTTAAGTTGTTTACAGTTAACAGTTTGCTGCCTAGTTGTAGTTTAAAGATATGTTTTGTAATTATTCAATGCAGAATTTAACAAACATTTACCACCAGGAGGCAGCGTTTTACCAGTGCGGATGTCTTTTTAGTCGCACAATTTCCTCAAGAGACTTTGTTGCCTTTTGCTCAAAATACATATATATCTTGGACTTTATAAAATAAAGTTTATAAAATAGAATAAACAAAGTCTTCTTTCCAGTCAGATAGGGAGATTTGTCAGTTAACATAACAAAACATGTTTACTGGATTAAAACTCTAGTGTTAGAATTTAAATCAGCTATATAATCTGTTATTTAGGCAGTGCTATTTCACTTGTTCAACTACTTGAGTCTATGCACTTGAAGCACTTTTTATCTGCACATGCTCACATACCAATGGATGCATGTTTAGCACCATCTCCAAAGACATTTCCAGCATATGGTCTGGAGGAGCTGGGGCTTGAACCATCAGACTTTTGAAGAAAACAAATCCAAAGCTGTCTTCTTACACAAACCAGGAAAAAGACAGAATAGCAGCAAGTAGTGTGTGAGTAGTACTAATTGCATTATATAATTTTCTTTCCCTTTGTCAGGTTCACTGGAGGAATTTCAGGTTCGGGTCCAAAAGCTCGAGCCTCCATGTCTCTGTTCCGCAACTCCAACTACACTGAGTCTTATCCACCAGGCCAAGTCTTCCTCCCAGTGGGTTCACCTCTGTACGTGGGCGTCTCTGTGGAGGACACAGACCCAGTTTTGGCAGCTGTTCTGGAGGACTGCTACGCCACTCACTCACCAAACCCTGATGATCCCACACAATATCCTCTCATCCAGAACAAGTATGTGCATCTCTCCAACCTCACCAATGCTTTGTGAGATACAGTGACGTGTGTGGACCCTGCTGATCTCCTCCCTCCTGTCTCACAGGTGTCCCCTGACCGCCTAAAGGTGTCAATAGTTGAGAGCGGCTCGTCCCTCCGAGCTCGTTTCTCTGCTCTGCTCTTCCTGCTCCAGGGTGAATACAGAGACATATATCTTCACTGCAGCCTCAGCCTGTGTAACCAGAGGAACTACAACTGTGTACCAGTGAGTTCCACATTTCACTTTTGCAGTACTCCATAATCCAAAATGGTTTCTCTGGTTTAAATCCTATATCTCTTTTCTCATTCTTTTGCCCTTTGTAGTCGTGCACAAGTAGGGCACATCGCTCTGTTTCCAACTCAGCTTTTATGAATCCCGTTACCATTGGACCAATCACTTGTGAGTATGAATTAAAACCTGGATTCAGAGCTCATGTCTTGACATAGTGATTTATATTAAACTAATAACTGCCATATCAACTTTTTCTTCTTCTTCTTCTTTTTTTTAGTGGACAAGCCAGCTGAGTGATCTGGAACATCCAATAACATTCTGTAGTGTGATATTAACTGCCAGAACTCTGTTTTCAGAAGAGAGATGATTTAAATATAATATTCACAAATATTTTACACATAGTTTTTGATATTATGTTCCATTTGGGCTTTTTTTCATTGTATAACTGCAAACTGTCCAAATAAGGTATGCATCCTATTTGTAAAAACTATACCTTGATGCTAGAATGTGAAACCAACTGGGTGATAAACTGCAAAGCCACCAAGTATCACAGTTCACACACTCTAATCATACCCTTTACATTTCATTGCACCGTATGAAAATTGTAGAGAAGGTATTAATTCAATTCAATGCAATTTTATTTATAAAGTGCCGAATCAGAACAACTGTTTCCTCAAGGTGCTTTATGTTGTAAGGTATAGACCCTACAATAATACAAAGAAAACAGAGAAAACACCAACAAACATATGACCTCTATGGCCAAGTGCTTTGGTGACAGTGGGAAGGAAAAACACACTTTTAACAGGAAGAAACCTCCACCAGTTTCTTTCTGTCGAGTCTGAACTGGATGTTTGTTCTACAGAAGAAGGGCATGAAAGCTGAAGGCTCTGCCTGCCATTCTACTTTTAAATACTCTAGGAACCACAATAAAGCCTGTAGTCTGAGAGTGAAGTGCTTTAATGGGGTGATTCAGTACTATAAAATCATTATGATAAGATGGGGCCCGATTATTCTAGACCTTGTGTGTAAGGAAGAGGATTTTAAATCTGATTCTGGATTTAACAGGAAGCCAGTGAAGAGAAACAAATATTGGAGAAATCTGCTCTCTTTCTAGTCTGTGTCAGTACTCTTGCTGCAGTATTTTTGATCAGCTGGAGGGTTTTCAGGGAATTTTTAGGACATCCTGATAATGAATTACAGTAGTCCAGCCTAGAAGTAATAAATGCCACCATTTCTTCTTTTTGTTTTGCGGGATAAATCAGCTCGGTGAGCTTGTAACATCCTGTAATATCAGAAAGACTTTCTATGATGTAATTAAATCCTTTTTTCAAATTCATTCTATATGATTTAATCAAACTGATGTTACATTGTAGAATTTAATATGTTATTTCATATGTTATATGCTAAGTACATTATATCCAACCTTATTATTATATTCACAAAACATTTTCTTTATTACTGGAACTAATATAATCTTTCTCAAAAAAAACACTGGATTCCTCTCTGGGTTGGTTTACTGACTTTCCATATTTTGATAAACTGCCATTAAATTTGGGATGGGTATCAACAGTCAAAGAAGGAGGATTTGAATGACTTTGGTTAACAGATGACTTTTCCTCTGGCGTCACCATGAGGTTGTCATTTGTATTACATGATGAAAATCAGGTCTGTAAGCTTTTGGACAATGACTGTTTCTGTGATCTTTCCTCTGTACACTGCAACACTGAATTTTCTAGATATGAGTGAAGTGCAGATTCCAGCTTGAATTCAAGAGGTTTTTACAAAAGTACAGCATTAACAGCTTAGTCAGGCCGTCATTTGACCCTCCCTGAGCCTGGCTCCAGGGAAGGGCCCTGGTAACCCTATCCCAGGCAGGGTGAACTGTTCCCTAGATTTTCTTCTCATAATGGTCTCCTGAATCGCTCTTTGTCTGGTCCCTCACCCAGGACCAATTTGCCATGGGAGACCCTACCAGGGGGCAGAAGCCCTCAGACAACACAGTCCCTGGGATCCCTGGAACACACAAAACCCTCCACCACGATAAGGTAGCGAATCGCAGAGGGGGATTGGTGATGTTCATGGATTCTAAACTTCAGGCAGTTATTTGATGCCTCCAACAAAACACTGGATTTGTGTTTAGTAAGCTATTTACCCTCACATTTCATTTATTTTATTGTAAATAAAGCTATCACACTGGTGGACGTTAAGTGACGTGATAAATGCTGTGGCTGAAGGTCATGTAATGGCTAATGTTTTCAGGGGCGTGTCTCTGAGTTTACTTTTTGATTGACTGGTCTAGAGTCCAATCCAGTGCTTTTTTTTTTTACTCAAATTATAATTTAAAGGGGGAAATAACTGAATAGAAGAACAAAAAGGAAAGCTCTGATAACAACCAGACCTATCAAATATATATATATATATATATATA